TTTTTAAGTATTCTTTTATTTATTTATCCATCAAATATTTTCAATATATATATATATATATATATATATATATATATATATATAAATCTAAATTTTCGGGCCGACTCGGAACCGGCCCGGATAGGTCCGGAACCGGAGTGAACCGGCGGGCCGACCCGGCTCGCCGAACCGTGTGTAGTACGGGCCGGTTCCAATTCCGGAAAAAAATGAACTGTGAACCAGAGTGAACCGGCCCGGAACCGGCCCATAGCCGTGTCTAACCAAAGGATGGACTCGCCCCTCGTAGCCTAAGGGGGGATTGTTCCTAGTTCCCCATGTATGGGTATATATATATATATATATATATATATATATATATATATATATATATATATATATATATATATATATATATATATATATATATGTATATATATATATATATATATATATATATATATATTTGAATATGTGTATCTACATATCTATATATATGTATTTTTTTCTATCTATCATCAAAACAAATTAATTGCAATTTATACCTTCAAAACACAATAAATCATGCATACTGCACCTAAATGAATTTTTAAAGCTAATAAATGTACTTTAACATTTTTAGTGGTATTTTTTAAGATGACAAATGTCAAATCAATTTTTTTATTCATGAATGATTTTGAAACTATAAAGTGCAAAAATTATAAATACATCTCATCAACATATTTACAAAATTATACTTTTTTATCACAAAAGGATATTTTACGAAAAACAATCGTTCAACTATTTCGTTATCAAGTTATCTGAAAAAATCACATCTTCTTCCAAATATTTTTACCTAATATTTCCACCAGTTACAATAAAAATCCATCAATCGAATAACTTAGTGATAAAGTTTATTTTATTTTATTTTGTAAGAAAAAATAGTTTTTTTTTCAATAATCCAGTGTGATTTTTATTTTTTCGCACTTTGAGCGCTCGGAATTAGGTTAAAGTTTGAAAAAAATAACAATTTAATTTGTTCTTTTTCATCCCGAAAAAGAAAAAACCAATAAAAATGAAATTGCTTTTATTATTCAATTCAAGGTGCATTGTGAATGATTTATTGTGTTTTGATGATGCAAAGTTCTAATATTATTTTTCAAGGATGCAAAGTGCCAAAAGACTCCATTTCGATGACGCAAAGTGGGATTAAGCCATTAATTGTTTAATATTCCACGTCTATGATTCCATCATGATATAAATTTAGTTATAATACTTTAATTAATCGGATGATATTCTAAATTTAATTCACATGTAAGAATTTAAGATAAATAATACTCCATTTGCTGCAATTTTATTGTATTTTCTTGTTACATTTATTTTAATAAATATTTTATTTGTCTTTACAAAAATACACATCCACATAAAAAACAGGAGACTTTAATAAATAAATAAAACCCATTTCACATCCTAAAAATGTAATATTTTCACATTTTGAACACTTAAAAAAAAAAATTAATAGCATTTTTTTATTTTACTCTCGAAATGATATAATTTGTTCACAATTTTTTTTTTAATTGAAAGTCAATGAGGTCATTGTCTTATATATTTTTTTTAATAGAATTTCTCATCAAGAAGCAATGTGCCAAATTCATTCAACCGTTTACTCACTTGAAAACTATATTTTCTCTATCATATACACACAAATAATTCTTATTGGTTTCGATAAAAAGAATCTATCTCAAATAATTTGTCAATCTATTTTGAAGAAAAAATAGTTTTGAATTAATTAAGCTAGTGATAAACATTTGGATACTTCGAAATTCGGTTGAAGGATGGCCGAAAATTGAAATTTTAATATACGATAATGCCACCACTGCTTTTCCGATCCAAAACTCAGTTTGTGGTGTAGTGTGATTTATTTAGTGTGTTTCAAGGATGCAAAATACTATTAATTTTTTCTCAAGTGTACAAAATAGAAAATTATTACATTGAAGAGTGCAAAATGAGATTAAACCCTTAAAATTTTTGTAGTAAAATAAAAGGGAGAAGTGTTGACATTTATAAAACATAAAAATATGACACAAGTGGTGATGTAACTTTGAGAGAGTTGAAATTTCAAATAGTGTAAAATGAGAGATATTTTGTAGTGCATTTGAATTGACAATAGATTATATATCCCATAAATTAGAGGACATCTTAATTACACTTAGTACCCTTAAAATGTAGCATTTTGACATTTTGCACTTCTGAAAAAATTAATAGCTAATAAATCATTCATATCTCACCCCAATTAAAATGTGAAGGCCAATGAATATAATTTCATCTTTTCTTTTTTGCTATTAACTATAATTCCAATAGATCATAAACAAAACACGAAATTATTTGATGGTGTATGTCTCTTATTGGAATTAGTAAAAAGATGGTTGATGATTTATTTTTTGTGGGAAAATAATTTTTTTTAATGTAATTTGATGAAAAAATAGTTGAATGGTGAAAAGATTAAAATTTTAATACTGAGCATCAAGAAAATAAATATTTCGTATGGGTACATTCATAGAAGATATTTCCATCTTTGCAATAGTATTTATTTTCGTGGTTGAAAGAGTCAATCTCCCCATCATTCAACTATTTTTCTCATTAAATTACTTGTAAATTAATAGTTTCTTATATGAAAAAAAAATCCTTAATTTTTTTTTATCACTTAGATTTTATTAAAATATCATTTGGAATGCAATGTAAATGATTTATCACTTTTAGAGGGTGCAAAGTGCTATTATTAACTTTTTCGGGTGTAATGTGTCGGAATTTTATGTTTCAAGGGTGCAAAGTAGAATTAAGCCATTAAAGAACAATACTATAACATTTGTTCCGATAATCAAATAAGCTGAATTTATTTTCACTCTGGATTTTCTAAAAAATATAGCTCTAATTAAATAATAATTACCTGCAAAATTAGCATCAAGAAGAGTGTGTGCATTCTTGGTGTGCAAATTCAACCTCGTAGTATAGTTCGGATGTGCTGCATAAAAATCTGAAACCGCCATTCTCATGCACAAATCCACCATCGAACCCATACTCGAGTTCGTGTCAAGAACTACGCCAACACCGACAACATTCTTGTTCGCGTCAGAGGGACAACAATTATAAATTAAAAATAGGAGAATTATTATAAATTTATGTATTATTACAAAGAAACGGGAGCACTCGATGCGTTTAAGCATGGCTGATAATTTTTTTTGTGATTTGTTTTTTTTAAAGAGTGTTCTTCTAATTTGTTTCTTGTCTTAAACAACTTGTGATTTTATAGACAGAGAATTGCCTGTTCAATTTATATGTTTGATAGCAACATAAGCATGTTATATAATTTAATTAATTAATAGAGATAAGATTAATGTACTATTCAAAAATTCAACAAAGCAGAATAATCAATAAAGTTGGACAATTTCTGGGAAGAGTTGCAAGCCGTTAACTGAACGATACGACGAGACGGAGAATGAGAATTTCGTCGTTTCATTTTTCGTATATGGAATTAATCCATTGCTAACGAACGAGATATTGACATAAATGATATTATTATAAATAAACTAATTGTATAAAGTAAAATAAATATAGTTCGAATTTCCTGTCAATCATACGACGACGATTATAATTATATATTATACTTATAATTTGTTCCAGATTGATTGGGGGCGTGCCTATTTAGTCACGATGTTAACTTAATTATTTATGCCAAAATTTGAATGACCTATTTTTTTTTTTTTTTTTTCACAAAATTTGAATGACCTATTGGTCTACGTTAAGTTGTCATATTTCAGTTTTATATTCAAACTACGCAGTCTCAGTCAGCGCAAGGCCTCTTTCGCAGCAAAAGTATATTTATATATATATATATATATATATATATATATATATATATATAAATTATGGGTAATGGCAAATAGGCTCATGATAAGAGCACTTAATTAAAAGAGGGACATCCAACTTTTTCGTCTTTCAAATAAATCTAACCTATTCAAACTTATTTGCAAATAAGGAAAATCCTTTTATATATACCAAAATTACCTCCAATTCATTGAAACACAATTTAACTCAAATTTCATGATTTACACCCCAATTTAGCCCAATTTCATCAATTAACCAATTTAAACCCTAATTCCAATTTTGACCCGCCACCACCGGAGACCGCCGGTCGCCGCCGTTGACCGGCGTTGATTTTTTTTTTTTTTTTTTTTTTTTAAATCCTGAAATTTTTTTCCGGCCGGTCAACTGCCGTTGACTGCCGGGTCTCCGGCGTTGACTTTTTTTTTTTTTATAATTTTGTTTTTTCTTAAATTTTTTTTTTAATTAATATTACTGTCTTGGCTGCTAAATTACTGTCTCCGGCAGTTATTTAACTGTCGGAGACAGTAATTTAACAATTAATTGACTCTTTTTTTTTTTTTTTTTTTTTCTTCAAAAGTATTTTCATTAATATTACTGTATTCGTTGCTAAATTACTGTCTCCAGCAGTTATTTAACTGTTAATTGAATTTTTTATTCTTAAAAAAAATATTTTTAATTAATATTACTGTATTCGTTGCTAAATTACTGTCTCCGGCAGTTATTTAACTATCGGAGACAGTAATTTAACTATTAATTGATTTTTTTTTTTAATTAATATTACTGCCTTGGATGTTAAATTACTGTCTCCAACAGTAATTTAACTGTCTTAGACAATAATATTAATAATATTACTATTCGGAAAAATAATATTCATAATATTACTGTCCCAAACAGTAATATTACTGTCTGAGACAGTAATTTAGTAGCCAAGACAGTAATATTAATTAAATTTTTTTTTTCTAAGAAAAACAATTCAAAAAAAAAAAAAAAAAAGTCAACGCCGGAGACCGGCGGTCAACGGTGGTTGACCGGCCGAAAAAAAATTTCAGGAAAAAAAAAAGTTTCAAAAAAAAAATAAAAGTCAACGCCGGAATCTGGCCGGAAAAAAACATTTCAAAAAAAATTATTTTCTGAAAAAAAAAAAATTTGGGGGTTAATGTGATATATTTGTTTAAATTCGGGGTCAATGTGTATTATTAAGGAAGTTAGAGTATAATGGGTGGAATTGATAAGAATTATATTATTGAGGGTATTTTAGACTATAGACATGGGGATGGGCTTAATTGAGATACTGTTTTTTTTGTAGACCAAAATGCAGTTAAGTCCCATGTGATGGGCCTTTTTGCGATTTGCCCTATAAATTACGGCACTTTCCTGAGATAATGTATAATTAGAAAAAGAACTTTCATGTTTGCATAATTACAATCACCCCTCAACTATATCTTGTCTTACACATCCACTTTTATGATGTCAAATTACCTTGGGGTGTTCATTCGGGCAGTAAACCGATCGAGTCGAGCCGAAAGAAAGTTCGTACATGCCGATTACAGAATCGTTCATTCGGTATATATGTGTGTGTGTGTGTGTGTGTAATATTAGTATTTAAACTAAAATTAATTACAAAAATGAAAATCAAAATTTTAGATATTTTTATTAAAATTTTGGTACTTTGTTATTTATCGAACCAAATGCTAAATTGTATGAAATTTCGGCGTACCCCGCAAGTTTTGTACAATTTTACCAATAAACGCCCTTAAATTTATCAACAAGAAGGATTTTTTCATAATTTGACCTTACTTCAAAGGGTGGTCGTAATTTGCCCTCTCTATATATAATGATGTAACTTATTCTTAAGTAAAAGGGTAATTACGAAAAAAATCTCATGTTTCGGTAATTTACAATCACGCTCAACCAGTGGCGAGTCCAGGAATTTGGTGTAGGATGGGTTTAAATTTTCGGGGGCTGCCCCCAAAAACAACGTAGTTTTTTTAAGGATTATTTGAAAATAGAAAAGAATAAACGAAAAAAAAAGACAGAAAAACTAATTTTAGAGTGTTTTTTGATTAATTTGGATTTTGAGTGGGCTAATTAATAAAACGTGTGATTTTTTTTTGCATTAATTTGGATTTTGAGTGGGCTAAATAATAAAAAAAATGGGACTTCTTTTGCATTATTTGAAATTTTGGGTGGACTAATTAATAAAATATGGGTGGGCTAAATAAACTATAATATAGCGGGGACATTGTAAATTGAGGATGAGCTTTAGTCCACCTTTGCCTAAGGGTGGATTCCCCCTACCCTCAACTATGAATCTTCTTACTCGTCCATCTTTTTGCTGTCATATTCAACAACATCTTCTAGATTCCATTGATTGTATTCTACTTTGTACTCGTTTTGTGCAAAAATGCAGTTTCTGATGCACCACAATCTGATATTTACAAGTCAGGAGACATATATTATGATCATCTTGTTTCAAAATATAAAACTCTAATGGGAAAAAATGGGTACAAACTGCAGAATATTCCACATAATCTAGAAGATTCGACTTAATTTGACATTGCAAGGGTGGATATGTAAAAAGATTTATAATTATATTAGTAATTACTCAAATATGATGAGTTTTTTCATAATTTGACATTTTCATAGAATCCGTAATTTATTCATAGGTATAATAGTTACACCGAAACCATATGAAGTAACAAAATAAAGATTTCCAAGTACAAATAAATATAAGAAAATAAAAACTTTATGAGCTTATATAGACTAACTGCACAATTATGAGCTTATTACTGCAGCTCAATCAATAACAATAGAACAAATAAATAAACTATATATACACACACATATACATACATGCACCATCGGTCTCGGTAGTAAAAACTATTGTTGATTATCTTCGGTTATGTTATCGATAATCTCGCCATTTTCGGATCCCGCTTCAATAACACGTGTCGATGTATCCGTGCCGTCCCGAACAGAAACATCGCTGACATCATCGTCATTCGCCACCGGTTCGTCAGTATCTCCGTCAACCTCCATCGACATAACTCTCGAACTCTTGAAATGGAATAGAATGTGGATAAAGTTCGCGGTCTTGTCGGTCAATTTCCGACCAATTGCCGTCTCGGAGCAAAACAGAGAGAATAGAGTCACCGATCCTATGATAAGGAAAAGGCCGGCAAAATCGTAAAACGTGAGACTCGATCTCTGTTGTGAGATTCTCGAGGAAAGAGGATCTTGAGAGGAATATCCCGGCCCGAAATTCTTTTGTTCAATAGCTGTCATATTCGGACCTTGTGTCACGTCCAATATCGCCTTCGAGAAATGAGCAACTAAAGGGACCCCACCGGAAATGCCTAAACAAAATTGCGTCGATTTACGATCATCAAAACTATATGTAAGAAAGGACCAATGATCTATCTGAAATGATAAATGTCGTTTCAATTTTATTAAATACCGTTTCTGACTTCAGACGTGATTTTGACTTTTTTTCGAGTCTGATTTTGGCAAAATTCAAAGCACGGAAGATGTAGTCCTTGGATTTCGCTATCTAATCCAAATTGAATCAGTTAGATTCGATGTTGGGTGACAAAGTTATGCATGAATGAGTTACGTTTTGAATTTTTAAATGACTCAAAGCATCAAGTTCATTCATTCATGCATATCTTTCTCACCTGACATCCAATCTAGCTGATTCAAGTTGGATTAGAAAGCTAACTCAAAGAACTGCAGATTTCGTGTTTTGAGTTTTGCCAAATCCCTACTCGAAAATGGTCAAAATCACGTTTTAAATCAAAAAAACGATAAATGTAAAATTGAAACGACATTTATCACATTCCATAATCTTGAAAATTAAAGGAAAAAAAAAAAACTTACGAAGCCAAAGCCACCGGTCCTGTACGTGGGCCCGACCATTCTGTACTGGGGGTCGTATTTGTTGAGAAAGAGTTTCATGTAAGGTATCTCGTCGAATATAGCATCTATGCCACCGTTTTTGCTTCCCTTCGACATAGCTGTATGGTATTCGTCCGACGAATTGTAGCTCCTCAGCCTCGACGGACTAATATGCAATTGATTTATCAAAAAATCTTTCATGAAAGAACCCTCGTGGCAACCGATGTAATAACTGTCCGAAAACGCAAACTTCAACTGATCAACCGTCAAAATCGCCGACAAATTAGCCGTGTAACTCTGCATTAGTATAAACGCCATGAAAAGCCAAAGCACCAGCACGAAAAACGACCAGTTGTTCGACACCATATTCCCTGCCGAAACAAATTACGAAAACGCCATCAACGTAGAAACATAACATACTTCTTCAATTAATTATAGAATTATAACATAAGTAAGAAATATTATTTACTTTCGGGGAAAGCAAGAATGGTAACGGGGGACCAATAAATCGCTCGACGCCTCTCCTTGTTTTCGATTATCGAATCCGCGTCGTTGCTAGTGACTCGGTTTTCCAATATACGAAGAACTACCCCCATCAAAACGCAGGCGACAACTATCGCTAACCACAGATCCCACCTCAACGGCTTCACAAATATCCACATGTCGAGCGGCTTCTTGTTTTTGACGACTAGAATGACTCCTGATTCAGAATACGGGAGCGAAAAGTCAACATGCGCAGCTCTCGGAGCCCAAACCGTTATGTCTCCCACTACCATATCATAGTCCTAATTTAAGAAAAAAAAAAAGGCAAATCGATCGAAAAATACGCATTTTCAAGAAACGAAGAAAACTTTGACACAAAAAAAAAATTTACCTCGGGAATCCCACGTAGCATGTCGTCGTAGCTCCAATCGGAATTACGGATGTCGTCGTAATGAATAAATTGATACTTGGCGGGAAAAGGAAGCACTTCCAATGCAGCCAAGAATATATCTACAGAAAATCCCGTTGCATTCGTACGCCTCATTTTCTTGTCGATAATCACGTTAGCGAATTCTGTGAATCCGTGTTTCCAAGGAACTCCGACTCTGAGGTTGCCGGTTGTCGGAATAGCCCAACCATTTGGCCGTGTGACGGAATCTCCGGGCCATGTTATAGTTTTGAGCTCTTTCGCTGACGTGGCGTACGTTTTTTCACCGGTGGAACTCAAATCTCTTGTTATTCCTCTCTCCGGTGTCCAAAATCCGACGGTTTTCTCTCCGGTACCTATCATGTTGAATATCTCGAATGCTAACGGCTTCATTTTCCCGTTAAATAATTCGAAATCTCCGGTCAACCCTCGGAATTTTGTGGTCAACAGTTCGTTGAGGAGACGGGGGCCGAGTGAGGTGGAATTTAAAGGTGCGATCTTTTCCAATGCGATTGCTAATGCAGTTACTGCATCGTAAGCCCACAAACCGTAAACATTTAGTTCGGTAATCGGACTTGTCGTAGTAGTGTTGCTCATTGTCATATTTCGTCTCAATCGCTCTTTGAAACTTTCGAGGGCTTTCGAGTTCGACACGTAAGGCCTAACGCCAACAACTCCTTCCATCGAATCGCGTACTGTGGAATCGATCGAGTTCAAGAAAATGGACAAACTATTAGTGACGATCCACGCATACTCTTCGCTCATAACCTCCGCATTTTTAGCGAGAGTGAATAACCGAAAACCGAGGGAAGGGTTCGTGTGTACGAGGAAAACCCTCGTCTGCTTTGTCGACAACTTGTTCAGTTCTTTCGAGATGTCGCTATCCTCGGCTGAAGTTTGAATCGGGACCATGTAGGCTAGCCCGATGTCGACTTCCTGGAATGCTTTATTCAGATGGGAGATAAATTGATTTCCGGAATTTGTTTCTTCGTAAAGAACGGCGATTTCGGGCCATTCGAAAGCCCGACAAATGGCTGCGAGGGCCCGCGCTTGAACCGAGTCGTCTGGTGTTGTCCTGACGGAATAGGTGGAGGGAAGAGACGAAGTTCTTGCATTGAAGGAGATAATCGGCACGTGTGATTTTTGTCCGAGTTCTGCGAAGAATGTTTCTTCGGTTGATGTTTGTGGCCTTATGATTCCATGCACTTGCTCTTGCTTCAGTAAATCAACAGCTGCATAGAAAGAAAAAGAAATCATACGAGTGTAAATTGAGTGAGGCATTTTAACAAACAGAATGCGTGCATGCATGATAACCAATTCGGTTTCTCTTGTATTACCTTGACAATTCTTTCTAATATAAATAAAAAAAAATGTTTTTTCTTTTTATAATTAAATTCGATTTGACTTTTCTAATTGTTTTTTGTTATCTTAGTTAATGAACCAAATATCAATAGACCGTATCCACCTACCCTCTGTCAATTGTTTTTCTAATGTTGAAAATTCAACTTTAATTTAGTAATTTTCTTATATTCTAATTAGAATATTCAAGCTAAAATATATATATATCGTTCACACTATCACCCAATTTAATTTTTTAATGCTCAATAATAATAATAATTAATTACATTTCTTTAGGGTTGTTGAGATTTTCTTCCTTCCGCCTTTTAATTAGGAACCAGCTTAATCAACATGTTGAAAGTATGCTTAAAAATAGTCAAATCTCCTATTTAATTTTATATACAGTTGACGTTGACATAAGGTAATAATTAATTTTTTTTTATGTAGAACATGAAAAATATATTATCCTAAATATACTCATAAATAATTAATCATACCCATAATTAATTAATATATATGTGTAAGATTTAATTTAATATATTAACTACATAAACACATATAAGATATAGATATATATTATCTAAGAAACTTGGAACTTAATAATCGAAACAAAATTAAAAGAGTCCGATCTATTTATATATATTAAAATAAATAATTACCTGCAAAATTAGCATCAAGAACAGTGTCTGCATTCTTGGTGTGAAGCTGCAACCTTGTAGTAAAATTCGGATGCGCTTCGTAAAAATCCGAGACCGCCATTTTCATGCATAAATCCACCGTTAAACCTAAAGGCGAGTTCTGGTCAAGAACTACACCGATTGGGACCACCGTTAAGGTTTTCGATTCGGTCGAGGTTTCTCTCTCTACATCACTACTTGCAACTGCAGAATAGTTGATGACGAAGAAGAAGAAGAAGAAGAAGCGAATAAGAAAATGGGATTTTACTAACAAACGGGAGCTTTCGGTACTTTTCGGCATTGTTTTTTAAAAATTAATTTTTTTTTATAAAATTAATATTTGTTTCTGCTTGATAACTGTCTTGTTTTTATAGACTAACTGTACAAAACGGATTGTAATTATATGTTGAATTATTCAATATACGTAGATTTAAAAAAAAAATTATTTTTAATTGGTTATAGACATTTACACGTAAGTGTATAGTTGGTTGAATCTTTTACATCTAAGTTGGGTTTTAATGTAACTTTCGTCGTAGCTAGGTGCATCTAAGAAGTTGTATACTTATTACATATACGGACAATATTTGACCAAGTCATGTAAGAGAGATGGAAATTTCTGGGAAATTTGGAAACGATTTTTTTTTTATATGTTATTTTTAAAGTTAAAAAATATTTATTTATTTTATATTAATACTTTTATGAACAACAAAAAAATTATTAAAGGGGAATATAATAGGAGATTAACCCAATTGATTATACATTTGTTTCAACATAATAAGAAATAAAAGGCAGCGTTAATATTAATTTCTCGTTGAATTGATTTCTTTCTTTTCTCTCTCTAAAGTAACGCGTATTGACTGCGTAAATGCAATTGAGGAGAATCGTATTAATTTTTGAATTAATCAAACTTTAATTTAGTTTCATTTTTCATTGCTTGAAAATCCATTTTTTTGACTTTCCAGTTTAGTTTTTAATTTGATTCGTTCGTATCATTGTAATAACGAAATTTGATTTTTTTTTTAATAAAACAAATACAAGGATAGTTCCAAATTAGGTGTAACACGTCAAAGGAATATCAATAAATTTAAGTATTTGGCTTCAATAAATTAGGTGTCAATACATATATCGTTGTCTGTCGATGTAGTCTGATTACGAATAACAGATTCCTTTATTCTTGTCCACATAATTTCTTAGGAAATTTCTTGGAACGTTGTCATCTACACCTTATTGTAGGGGTAAATTAAACTGAGTCGAGTTTGTGGCGAGTCTCGCCAGAATTTTCAGGTTTGAGCTCAAGCTCGTTTCGGATTATGCGAGTTTGAGCTTTCATTTTCTAGTCTCTAGCTTGGCTGGAGTCTATCGAGCTCGAGCTTGAGCTCAGCGATGATTTGCACTCTATTTCATTACTTCCGATATGGATTATTACTCGTTTCATAGTCATTTTTATTTATTTTTGGTGTTAGTATTTTCGTAGGTAAATATGTGCAAAACAAAAGAATAATGGTTGAAATATACAAATTCGGAGGCAAAACCAACATTTGGAGAAGAAATTTAGGTACTTAGAAGTAGAAAAATAAATTGCTCCCATGTGTGTATGATATCCCATCTCCCACGAGTCCATGTTATTACTTGTTAATGAACATGCGAAAAATCACCAACACTCAACTTATTTTGTTCTTTTATTATTATTTTTTTATATTAATAATATTTTATTTTATCGGTATAAATTACTTATATGACTATATAAAATAAAAATAAATAATATAAATATATTTTTTTGCAATTTTTATATGTATTCATTTAATATTATTATGTATATTATCTCATCGATCTGATCAGTCTTCCTTTTTAATTTAAAATGTCTATTTTCAGTCCATATTTTCCAACTAAGCTGTCTAGTTTCAGTCTTGAGTGTTTATTTCAATCTAAGTTCTTCAACTAAACTGTCTATTTTGAGTCGAAACTATCCATCTAAGATGTTTGAGAGACTTTTAGCGAATTCAAAAAAAAGATACAAATGACTATGTCAAGAAAAGAAAAAAATGTTCTATAATGCACATTAGCATGGCTATAAATTAAATATATCCAAATGTTTTGCAAGCTATTATACGAGAGTATAGTTTTACTGAGTGCACCTATATGGTTGGCTGCATGTTCCTTCATTACCAATGCGAAAAATGGGAACAACTTAATCATTCCTAACAGGTTCTCCGTTTAATTCTCCAGGAGGATGTATATCGGCATTGTCTTTAATAACTCGATGATCCATCACGTGTCGCATCTCCATTGGCACAAAAATCCGAAGCCCAATATCGGAGAGATGTTCTCGTCACATCTCATTGAATTTTTGTTTAACTGCTGTTATCGAAAATATTACAACAACGAAAACAAGTGATCCTGTAATAATGAAGAGGCCTCCGAATTCGTACAGAGTAAGTCCGGAGGCACCTTGAGGGATCACAAAGGATAATGGATCTTGCGAAGAATATAATATTCCGGCCCGAAATTTTCGAGCTCTAGACTATTCATATTCGGGCCTTGCGTAACATTCAAGATACCCTTTGAGAAGTGTGAAACTAATGGAGAGCCAATTGGAAAAGCCTCACGAACAAAATATAAGACAATCAAAATTATTTTCGAACAAAAGTAATTAATTCATTCACTATTCTCAAAAAAAAAAAAAAAAAAAAACAAATCGTTCACATGCGTAAAGAATACTTACAAAGCCCGTGCCATCAGTCCTGGAAGTGGGTCTGACGATTTCGTAACGGGGTTTACAGCCGTTGATGCCTCTGTTTTTGCTTCCTTTAATTTAGACATAGCATCGTTGAATTTTTCCAGTGAACCATAGGCAATAAGCCTCGATTTAATTCATAGCTGCTCCGTCAAGAATAGCTTTATGAAGGAACCCTTGTGATATATAGCCCACATAGTAATCATCGGAAAATTCGAATGCTAATTGATCAACGGTTAGGATCGCAGATAAGTTGGCGGAGAAGTTCTGCATTAATGTGAATGCCATACAACCCCAACAAACTAGTATGGAAACTGAATAGTTATTCGATACCCTATTTTCTGCATTTCAACGACAATAGAAAACGATTCGATACGAGTGAAAAAAAAATGCAATTTTTTATTTATATGAAAAGTAAGAAAGAAATTTTATTTACTTTCTGGGAAAACAAGAAATTCTATTGGATACAAATGAATCATTCGTCCACGTGGCCTATCCACGGGCTCTTCTTCACCGGTGTCATTTTTTCGGGTTTCCGTCACATAAAGAGCTAATCCGAGAAACGACCAAGCAAACAATAATTTCCAGCCAAAGATGCCATGCGAAGGGCGTTATAAAAGTCCACATGCTAAATGGTTTCTTGTTTTTCACAACAAGAACGACTCCCGATTCGGAATACGGTAGCGAAAAATCAACATATATATTCTAATTTTGGAGCCCAAATTGTTGCACGAGAAAGGAAAAAAAAAAAAAGAAAGAAAGAAATCACACTTTCTTTTTAAGCAAAACGACAATAGAAATATGATAATTTAAAAAACCGAATGCGAGTTCTCTAACCTTTTTACTTAACCATTTCTACTTTAACGAACACTTTAGCCTACCTCGGTTCTCATCGTTCGCTGGAACTTGGCCCATCGGGTATGTGGTTCATCTTGGTCTTGGGCTTGGCTTTAATAATTCATTAGGCCAAGGTCCACTAATTTTGAATATGGGGAGCTCGGCTTAAAGGTGCCGAACTGATATTTTTTATCAAAGGGACTTTTCCTACAATTCAACATTATACAAGGGCATTTTTTGAAAAAACAACCCAAAACAGGACAAGAATGTAAATAACATAATAAAAATCTACAAAATTTCTAGATGAATCACTCTTAATATATATATACATATATATATATATACATATATATATACATATATATATATATATATATATATAAACGCACTAGTAAAAAGTCAAAATATGGAAGAATGATGATGAAATTTGTCGAGAATACAGTATATTTGGTGAAGCAATCTCTTATTGATTCTTTTTTGTATTGAGCGTGAGAAAGATATTTTGTTTCCTTGTTTTATTTTAGTATTTTTCCTTATTATTAAAATTATAATCAGTATATATACACTCCTTTTTGGAGAAGAAGAAATACAATGAAATATATTATGTATTACCGTGTTGACATGGTATCAGAGCGGTTCGATCTCTCATAAAACCAACGTTCAATATATTGTTCTGAATATACCTAGAAACATCAACCCCATATTTTTTGTTCTTCTCATTTAATCTGAAAGATTAAATATAACCAAGCCAACGCAAAATATAACCAATATAACCAAGCCAACGCAAAATATTGTTATCCAGCAAGACAATTCTACGTTTCTCACCAGCGTAATATTAGATGAAACGAATTACGCCTTATGGTCTCAACTCATGGAGATGCGTATTGGCGCTCGAAATAAAGCCGGTTATCTCACCGGAGAAGCGAAAAAACCCGTCCATGGAGATCCTACTCTGGCTACATGGATTACTGAAATCAAAGAGTGAAAAGTTGGCTAGTTGATTCGATGAGTTCATCGCTCATGCAGCGTTTCATTCGTCTTCCGACGGCAAAGGAGATATGGGAAGCTGTATCAAAAACCTTTTATGATGGATCTGATGAAACTTGTCTTTTTGAACTCAACCAAAGATCATTCTCTACAATACAAGATGGCCGACCCCTTCCAGTATACTATAACGAACTCGTCTCCATCTTCTAGGAAATTGATCACAGGACCATCTCTCACGAAGAAACAATTGAAGGAGTGGTCCAGTTGCATTCCATGATGGCTAGGCTTCGAGTTCATAATTTTCTAAGTGGACTTGATTCTCAATTTGATCAAGTTCTAGGAGAAATTTTGCGAAAAGATCTGAAACTTGATTTGGAGAGCACATATGCATATGTTAGAAGAGAGTATCAACAAAGGCAGACAATGGGAAGTTCTCGACAAATCTTGGAAAGTTCAGCCATGTTAGCAAATCAAACTCAAAAATGATCATCATCGGGCTCCTTTAAGAATCGAAAGGAACAATCTACAGGAAAAGCTAATAACTTCGTATGTGCTCACTGCGGTGAAACAGGGCACTCAAAACAACGATGTTACGAAGTAATTGGCTATCCCGAGTGGTGGGACTTCACAAAGAAACCAAGGAAGAAGGTTGCTGGAAAAGGTATGACGACGTCTACAGATGGTGAACAAGCGCAACCTACAGCAAATGTTGTTCACCCAGGTATTGTCGGTAAGTCCACTGCTTTCTCGACCA